TTGGAAAAAGACTCCCTTGGACCACGGGGTTGCACACACACACACACAAGCGAAGGGTCACTCTTCATGCTACCCTATATAATATAGTAGTTCCAGTGTCTTTTCCATTATTCCCCCAAGTAACCCCACTATAACCCCCAAATAACCCCAATACACCCCTGTAAAGGGACCTAGAGTCAATGTCGGCTAAGGGGACGGGACAAAGATTCTACCCCCAAAGTTTGGGCTTCAGGCATCATCGGGATTCACCACCGCACCGCCACTTATCAGGCGCCCAATGACCTGCATAGGCGAATCTCCGCAATCAGGGATCAGGGTTTATGAGCCATGGCTTGCTGGATGGACGTAGAGTCGCAGGAAATAAGGGAATACAATCCCTGTGTAATCCCTATATACTATATTCCACAATTCCCTACTATCACCCAGTAAGGGAAGGAACTAGGGATGGCTAGGGTGGTGGCAGCGCTACAGATTTCTTACGCAGCCCACAGTTAGACATGAACGTGACCTTGAAAAACCGGCAATCTAACTCCAGAAAGACCATGTCACAAGCTGCAGGCAACCTGACGAGCCGATCTTCCAAAGAGACCACTGGATATATTTAACATACCTAAAACAGCACCCACTACAAGTCAGCGCGCAGGCACACTGACTTTCCATGTATGACTACCCTATTCCCCAAGCCCGTCAAAGCCAGCTTGGGATCGACCTCTTGTAGCATGGGCCCCCGGAAAATCCAAGAGATGCACCCGGCGCACAAACACCACCAGTGGGCAACGAGGAGACCCTTCCAAATCGCAACGGGATTGTAGATTCATTGGTGGTACTATCCAAAAATGGGTGGACCCTAATGTAGACCCTAAGATACGTTAAACCTTATCATGGGGACCCCCAAAATGGCACCCCTAATTATGGGAAACCCCCTGGTGGCCCCGAATGTCAGTCTTCAACATCTCAACTCCTCGACTCCTAGGAGCGGAGGTCCTTCTCTCGTATCCATGCATGGATACGAGAGCCCCAGCGTAAAGGTTTGATTTCACGAATAGCGCTGCGTTCTAACATACTTAAACAAACTCCATTGACCCCCGAACTCTGCATCCAAAATTGGGCGGACTTCCTGAACTCACCAGCCTCTGTGTGGCCATTTAGAACCGCTGCTCGCATTGGCGAGGGGCCCCGATGGGAGGTGGTGCAGTTGGGGTTCGCACTGCCTGCCATGGATTGCAAGACCTTGGGAGGGTTCAGGGTTGATTAATATGGCCTTTGAGAAAAAAGTCAAACAAAGGCACTTCGTCTTTCACGCTCGGGCTGGAGCTTCGCTTCCAGGCTATATACAACAGGCGTTCTGGGAAATTTCTGGTGTCCATAAACCTCACAATATGCAACCTCAGCAATGACCTCATATGCCCTGACAGCTACCCCCTGTTGGCCACCGAGCAGCAGATCTTGATCACCATTCCTAGCACTTCGGGTATCATTTCGGCTGTTATCATGATGCAGAAAGTTCATTGACTGCTGGAGCCACCTATGGCCTACGGCTTGAGGCAAATCATCATGATAGATGTTCATCTTCTTAGGATGGCTACATAAACTCCAGAATAACAACGTTACCGTCGTCCCTTGGAACCGCGATCCAAGAATTGCCGGTACATAACATAACGCCTCCCAAAAAGACCTTGGTGACTGAGACACCATTGTATCTCCTGTGGATCCCCAACCCCAAGACCAAAAGGCTAATACCCAACAAAGAACCCAAACCAATCACTCGCTGAAGTTAAAATCCCCAAAGCCCAAAGCTGCGAAGCCTCTAAACCCTCTCTCGAACCCCTTGTAAAATTTCAACCCCTAAGCCACACACGCTACACCTTTTCCCTGCCTATACCCTAAACCCTTATACACTCTAAGCCTAGAACACTCCCTAATCATCAATCCTGCAGCTCATACCTCTAGCAAAAAAAAATAGTCTCTCAACCCTCAAAAGCCAATCTCAGATCATGCGTCCCAAATCCCCGACCCCAAGCCTCAAACCTTGTTCCCTCACCGGCAAAACACCTACACCCAAAACTCTCTGAAATCCTACCCCTCCGCGTCAAAAACTAGAACTCCTATTGCAAAAGCTTGAAGAACTGCCTGAAGAACTGGGGTTTACCGCTTCCATTGTCTGAACATGCTGCGCACCCAAACTACACAAAGCCTACACCTCAAACACCCTAATCCACGCCGCGTACAATCTCAAAACCGAAACACAACAAACCCAAGCCCTAAACTGAAACCCCAGAGCTCTAAAGATTTAAATCTAAACCCACATCCCCTAAAGCCTCCCCCCCCCCCACACCGCGAACTCCATTGAATTTTTCTGTCCATGCATTACATCCAAACCATACTGACATACTGTACCTCCCCTCAACCAAACATGAAATCCCACATAACCTCCACTTTAAAAGGACAACAGTAAGTAGGACATCTATGTTAGTTTAGGGGAGGGTCCCTGAACCCTCACCCGAAACCCTAAACTCTAAACCCTGCCCTAAAACCCTAAGCCCGAAACCCTAAAAGCCTTTTTTGCCATAAAACCCTCAAGACCGAATTCTGGTAATTATTTAGGCCCCTATACCATGTTATAATGCATGGTAGTTTCCATTTTCTTTTCCATTATCCCAATATAATCCCATTACATATACCCTATAATCCCTAAATTTCCTTCCCCCCCGCACGCCTGAGAGCAGCCGGCTCACCGCCTCCTCGTGGCCGCTGCGCACGGCCGCGTAGAGTGGCGATGCAGAGGCTGGTGGGACGTCAGCCTGCGCCTTTTGTAATTACTTGTAAGGGTTATATAAGGGTTATGTGGGGAGTATATAGGGCCTAATAACGGTTATTTCGGGAGTATATAGGTGAGACTTTACTCTGAAAAGCTTGCGGGGGAGGCGGGGGGCTGGGGGGTTTAAAGCTGGGGAAGTAGACTTGAGAATTTAAGGGGCTTAGAGTTTCGAAAGGTCTGGGGCTTGGGAAGGCCTTTGAGGGTGTGCTTTGGAATGGGGGGCCAGGAATGGGGATGGTTGGAGGTCATATTGCCTGAACATAACTTGGGTTGTTCTATTATTTATTGCATCTAGTGCTCGATGTAAGAGGGAAGGAGTTGGAAGCTCGGTCCTAAGCCGAAGCTCGCCAAAGAAGCCCCGATAAGCCCCACGGAATATCTTTATACATCCCCGCCGCACTCCTCGCCTTCACTCCAAGCCCAGAACCCGCCCCCCCCAAAAAAGGGAGGCATCTCGGAAAGCACGCCACGCTGTCAGAACCAGGGAGGTGCCCCTACAGCCAGTGATATAGGACAGTGAGATGATTCTATAATTCTGTAAGTCATAGAATATGTAAGGACTTACTCAAGAAGGAATGGCCAACACATGGAAACCATCATTTGCCCAGTTTAGCTTCCCTTCAAGGACATTTCAGACTCAGACACGCCAGATCCTGGCCCTAAGCTTTCATCTGGTTCAGCAAGGATATTGAGGATTCACCCTTTTTTCCTACAGTAGCTGGAGAACCAGTGCAAGGTTTTATGTTACATAACATATATGGGCTAGAAGGCGGCTCCAATTCTCCAGGGGCCCAGTGTCCTGTCCAGACCCTGAATGCCAAATCCTACTTTGCAAGGGCTCTGAGTCTTGAACACTAAGCCCGTGTCGGAACCCAATGACCAACAGGTTTATGGGTCTTACCTACTCAACTGTAGGTAGCAGCAGCTAAAACGTAAGTCTTGAACCAACTCCCAGAAATGTCAAGCCTGCTTTGCAAGGAGCCAGGCGATCACCTGTCGCAATAGGGTCAGGGATTCATTAGAATAAGAGGATAAGGGTTTAAGGAGGTGACAAGGACCATATAAGGCTTAGAAAGAAAGACAAAACAGGATTCAACATCTGGGAGTGGCTAATCAATTGTCATGCGAGGACCCAAAAGAGAAGAGTATGCGAGATCTACTGTACGGTTGTTGTATACTAAACTAAGTCATGGCGCAAGTGTCGTGAAGGCTCACGCTTCTACACCCTGGTAAACAAATGGGGGGTCGAACCATGACAACGGGTGATTTGCCGCTGAGAATTGTAGCTGTACTTCTGGATCATTCGGGCCCTGCATGCCAAAGTGAAGCACAAGTTAGTTGCTCCCTTATGCCACCCTAAACCCGAAGCCCCTAAACCCCATCATTGGGCCTTCAAGGCATCTGAACAAAGTGTATCGACCTGACCTGATGTGGCAAACTTGAACATATCTACGCTTTCACGGAGAATCCACAAGTATCTCTGTCATGCTTTACCCCTCCCAAATTTGTGGCAGTAAGCATAAATTGGGGGGAGGGGCCTCCAATATAGACCCCAAACTATTACAATCCTGACTTGAGAAACCCCCAAAAAGGGTACCCCTAATTTTGGGAAACACCACATAACTTATGTAACTAAGGAAGCATGGCTAGGTCACCCATCCTCATGTCAACGGAAGCTGGAGCAGATCTACAGTTAGAAGCCATGGGGCAATAGTATGGGCCCTTAACCCTGGGATCCTTATACACCATATACCCTATATATGTACCCTTAAGGGTCCCAAGAATCCCCCTAAGAGAGGTCCAAGAGCTCATATTATGCGATATAATGTATATATGTACCCTTAAGGGTCCCGAGAATCCCTTTTAGAAGGTCCATATTACATATTAGGACTCTGTACTTCTAGCCTTAGAGCAAACTAAGCATCCTCGACCCCAATAAACCATCATGCATAGCCAGTTCACCTCCAGGGGTTCAGGGGTTTTTAGGGGTTAGGGGTTTATGGGTTTTAGGGGTTTTAGGGCTTAGGGCTTGTATGGTGTGGGGTTTAGGGTTTAGGCGTAGAAGCCGTATAGTAACCCTAGCTGTCCCCATTAATTATTAACAAACTCACTAAGTCCCCCTGACCCTTCCAGCAAGCTTACACGCAGAACCAGCCTCAGAGTGGCCTCCCAGGGAGGCCAGGTACAGCGCTGTGGACCCGCCCATCATCTCCTGTTTCTGAGAATTTGGCGTTCCGTTTATGAGGGCCCCGAGTGATGAGGTTGATATATAGGAGACTTTGCTGTGGAAATGTCCAAAACAATATGGGTGGTTGTCAAAATNNGGCCCCTAATATTTAGGGTACCCAGAAAATCACCATAATTTTGACAACCACCCATATGGCTTGTGGCTGGGGATCCTACAGGAGGCCATGGCATGAGTTGAGCGGCCTCCTTAATGTACTTCCACAGCCCCTAGAACATGATCATCATGCTTGGGGGAGCACATGACTAGTGTCCTTGTGAACATCTGCGCGGCCGGCCAGCAACCAGGCAACTGCTTCGGTGTGGCCACTTTGGGCTGCAACATGAAGAGCCGTTCCACCACTCCGCGTGGTTTCGTTGACATCTGAGCGTGCCACCAGCAGCCGTGCCACGGACTCAGCGTGTCCATGTAGGGCAGCATAATGGAGAGATGTTGCGCCATTCTCCGCAGCCACGTTGACTGATGCTCCCTGGGCGAGCAAGCGGACGATCACCTCTATGTGCCCACTTTGTGCAGCCATGAAAAGAGGAGTAATGCCACCCTCCATGATTGCATCCACTTCAGCACTTCCTGCAAGGAGCCAAGCTACAGCCTCTGTATGGCCATTTTGTGCCGCAACATGTAGGGCTGTGCCACCTCCATCAACCGCCGAGTTAACTGCAGCTCCCCCTGCGAGGAGGCGGGCAACAGCCTCTGCGTGTTGGCCTTGGGCAGCTATGTAAAGGGCTGTTGTTCCGCCCGGGGCCAGCTGGTTTACATCAGCTGCACTTGCCAGCAGCCTAGCAATAACCTCTGCGTGGCCGTTGTGAGCAGCCATGTGCAAGGGAGCCACTCCACCTAAAGTGGTGCGATTCACGTTTGCACCGCTGGCAATGAGGCGTTGCACATCAGCAACATTGCCAGCCGCAGATGCGGCATGCAGTGAGCCTCGCACGCCTTCTGGTCTGATGCGGTGGAAGGTCTGCTCTCCTCAGCTGTGCTATGGATAGCTACTGGGCAGATTGAGGCCAAATTATACACAAATAATAGAGCGTGTCTACAAACCTGCTGCAGCCACTCTTGTCCCTCATGGTTCTTACTGTAGAGCGCATGAAGCCCTGTAGCCTTCCTGATTAGTGCATACTTACTCATGTCCACACGCTGCCATGGCTGCAATGCTCTACATATGGGTACATCCTGCTTAAAATATTGCGGAAATGCCTCGCGCTATAACCTGTGGCCTTGAATGCCGACACTCACAACTTGGCGCATTTGCGCTCCGTCCCAATGGTTTCTCAAACACATGTTGGCATGACTTCCCCCATATTTCCCTACAACCCCTGAACCACCTTGGTTACCCTGATCCCAAACTGGCAACCCAATAACTATGATTATGAGAGGGCTCTCAACCTGCAGCAAGCATCCAGAATCGGGATCTACTTCGAAGATGCCCTCTTCGAGGAGAGAAGTGTTGCAGATGGGACAAGCAGCTTTGACCCGGAACCAATTCCTCAGTCGCATGAGGTTCCGAAGCTCCTAGCTAGCTAGCCCCTGGCTGAGGACACAGTCATATGCGTGGAGATCCGCCGCAGCAATCTAAATTGCGAAACTCTTTTCTGCCCTCTTGTGGAGTCGAGTCGAACTTGGTTTCCTACAACTTGATGGATATGTGTCATATTTGTAGCACGTGATTACACAAATTCTCACAAACAGCATCTGTATGCACCTCGCATGGTCGCGTTCCTGTTCCTGCGCCTCCGCCTCCGCCTTATCCTCCTCCTCCCTCTCTCCGTCGTCCTCGGTGGTTGTAGAAGTAGTCGAACAAGGTGGAAAGCTAGGGGTGTGGATAATTCAGGATGAGAAGTAGTCAAATCACAATCACTCGCAGTGTTTCGGGCTTTGAATTCTTTCGGAGAAACATGCAACTCACACACATTCACAATGTTTGCGTACGTAGAAAAGTACTGCAAAACGCAGCGCTTTGTGAAACAGCACAGTTTAAGAAATGTGCTTTTGAGTAAGCCATGGCAAAGCGCTCCGCCGGCAAGCAGCAACACCCTAGCCCAAGAAACCTCGAATTGTCTATGCTCATGCTCATCAACGTTAAGTGAGAACTCCTCAAGCCCCTGGACTGATGGGGCGACTCAAAATCAGAAGTCCACACACCCTTGGACTAATCGGGCTTTCTCAAATTGCTGGCAACCGCAGGCCCAAATTCTAGCCACAGATTTCGCGAAAAATGTGAAGGTGTCAAAGCTGCGAGAATTTCGTAAAATTCGATGTCGCATTTTGAGCCAAAAAGCCCAACACTGTCAAAGGCTGTAAAAACCTGCAAATACCAGCGAGGTGTCTGCGGGCACAAGAAAGAAACAGAACGGGACGCATTGCCGGCCCGTTTTTACGTCACCAGGACGGTAAGGTATCTTAATGTTTTCTAGTTTAGTATTCGTAGGTGTAGATGTGCGTACTACATTGCCCTTAAAATAACAGAGATCAAATTCGGTCATAAATTTGTAATTTCAAATTGGGCAATCCCAGAAGCGTTAGTTAGAATATCTGTATATGTATGGGCATCAAAAGGAAAGAGTTGGGTTCCCGAGGAGAGGAGAAGAAGAAGTGTCGGGCTAGGATCTTGCAGCCGGGGTGTCAAAACAAGAAAACTGATTTATCTATTTTTTGGCACCCCTCCCCCTCCCCGCCTGCCAGACCGGGCCACCAGGCCACCAGATTGTAGGGCCGGGCCCAGAATAGTCTCTCTGTCCTCCTTTCCTTGGCAGCCTACGCTCCACATCCAACTCACTTCACTTTCCCTACAAGTTTGTAGTGCTTATGCGGTTAGAATCGCGGTAAACAATATCTTTCCTGAGGCCAAAGAGAACGAGCTGAAACTCACCGCAAAACAGCACTTCCAATAACAGACGAACAGCCAAACTCACTGCAAATACCAGCATTTCCAGCTTCTTCATGTTCAACATTCGAAAAATCGCCAACACCCCCCCACCCCCTGGAGGAGGAACATGAGGAAAATAATACGTCCGCAGACAGGAAGTGCTGCAAATACCATTGGAAATCCGCACGGCGGCTGTCATATTGAACTAAGGAACCACAAGATGAACAGTTGTCATAGCAGCAGCAGCAGCAGCA